GGGAGAAACAACCTCCCTCACTACTACCCAGACATTGTAAGGTGGCAGTTGTGAGGGAGAAACAACCTCCCTCACTACTACCCAGACATTGTAAGGTGGCAGTTGTGAAAGAGATACAACCTCCCTCACTACTACCCAGAACTCTGTAAGGTGGCAGTTGTGAGGGAGATACAACCTCCCTCACTACTACCCAGAACATTGTAAGGTGGCAGTTGTGAGGGAGAAACAACCTCCCTCACTACTACCCAGAACTCTGTAAGGTGGCAGTTGTGAGGGAGATACAACCTCCCTCACTACTACCCAGAACATTGTAAGGTGGCAGTTGTGAGGGAGATACAACCTTCCTCACTACTACCCAGAACATTGCAAGGTGGCAGTTGTGAGGGAGATACAACCTCCCTCACTACTACCCAGACATTGTAAGGTGGCAGTTGTGAAAGAGATACAACCTCCCTCACTACTACCCAGAACATTGTAAGGTGGCAGTTGTGAGGGAGATACAACCTCCCTCACTACTACCCAGAACATTGTAAGGTGGCAGTTGTGAGGGAGAAACAACCTCCCTCACTACTACCCAGACATTGTAAGGTGGCAGTTGTGAAAGAGATACAACCTCCCTCACTACTACCCAGAACATTGTAAGGTGGCAGTTGTGAGGGAGATACAACCTCCCTCACTACTACCCAGAACATTGTAAGGTGGCAGTTGTGAGGGAGATACAACCTCCCTCACTACTACCCAGAACATTGTAAGGTGGCAGTTGTGAGGGAGATACATCCTCCCTCACTACTAACCAGAACTCTGTAACGTGGCAGTTGTGAGGGAGATACAACCTCCCTCACTACTACCCAGAACTCTGTAAGGTGGCAGTTGTGAGGGAGATGCAACCTCCCCCACTACTACCCAGAACATTGTAAGGTGGCAGTTGTGAGGGAGATACAACCTCCCTCACTACTTCCCAGAACATTGTAATGTGGCAGTTGTGAGGAAGATACAACCTCCCTCACTACTACCCAGAACTCTGTAAGGTGGCAGTTGTGAGGGAGATACAACCTCCCTCACTTCTACCCAGAACTCTGTGAGGTGGCAGTTGTGAGGGAGATACAACCTCCCTCACTACTACCCAGAACTCTGTAAGGTGGCAGTTGTGAGGGAGATACAACCTCCCTCACTACTACCCAGAACTCTGTAAGGTGGCAGTTGTGAGGGAGATACAACCACCCTCACTACTACCCAGAACTCTGTAAGGTAGCAGTTGTGAGGAGAGTACAACCTCCCTCACTACTACCCAGAACTCTGCAAGGTGGCAGTTGTGAGGGAGATACAACGTCCCTCACTACTACCCAGAACTCTGAAAGGTGGCAGTTGTGAGGGAGATACAACAGCCCTCACTACTACACAGAACTCTGTAAGGTGGCAGTTGTGAGGGAGATACAACCTCCCTCACTTCTACCCAGAACATTGTAAGGTGGCAGGTGTGAGGGAGATACAACCTCCCTCACAACTACCGAGAACTCTGTAAGGTGGCAGTTGTGAGGGAGATACAACCTCCCTCACTACTAACCAGAACTCTGTAAGGTGGCAGTTCTGAGGGAGATACAACCTCCCTCACTACTACCCAGAACTTTGTAAGGTGGTAGTTGTGAGGGAGATACAACCTCCCTCACTACTACCCAGAACATTGTAAGGTGGCAGTTGTGAGGGAGATACAACCTCCCTCACTACTACCCAGAACATTGTAAGGTGGCAGTTGTGAGGGAGATACAACCTCCCTCACTACTACCCAGAACTCTGTAAGGTGGCAGTTGTGAGGGAGATGCAACCTCCCTCACTACTACACAGAACTCTGTAAGATGGCAGTTGTGAGGGAGATACAACCTACCTCACTACTACCCAGAACTCTGTAAGGTGGCAGTTGTGAGGGAGATACAACCTCCCTCACTACTACATAGAACTCTGTAAGATGGCAGTTGTGAGGGAGATACAACATACCTCACTACTACCCAGAACTCTGTAAGGTTGCAGTTGTGAGGGAGATACAACCTCCCTCACTACTACCCAGAACACTGTAAGGTTGCAGTTGTGAGGGAGATACAACCTACCTCAGTACTATCCAGAACACTGTGAGGTGGCAGTTGTGAGGGAGATACAACCTCTGTCACTACTACATAGAACTCTGTAAGATGGCAGTTGTGAGGGAGATACAACCTACCTCACTACTACCCAGAACTCTGTAAGGTGGCAGTTGTGAGGGAGATACAACCTCCCTCACTACTACCCAGAACAGTGTAACGTGGCAGTTGTGAGGGAGATACAACCTCCCTCACTACTAACCAGAACTCTGTAAGGTGGCAGTTGTGAGGGAGATACAACCTCGCTCACTACTACCCAGAACTCTGTAAGGTGGTAGTTGTGAGGGAGATACAACCTCCGTCACTACTACCCAGAACATTCTAAGGTGGCAGTTGTGAGGGAGATACAACCTCTCTCACTACTACCCAAAACATTGTAAGGTGGCAGTTGTGAGGGAGATACAACCTCTCTCACTACTACCCAGAACTCTGTAAGGTGGCAGTTGTGAGGGAGATGCAACCTCCCTCACTACTACACAGAACTCTGTAAGATGGCAGTTGTGAGGGAGATACAACCTACCTCACTACTACCCAGAACTCTGTAAGGTGGCAGTTGTGAGGGAGATACAACCTCCCTCACTACTACATAGAACTCTGTAAGATGGCAGTTGTGAGGGAGATACAACCTACCTCACTACTACCAAGAACTCTGTAAGGTGGTAGTTGTGAGGGAGATACAACCTCCCTCACTACTACCCAGAACAGTGTAACGTGGCAGTTGTGAGGGAGATACAACCTCCCTCACTACTACCCAGAACACTGTGAGGTGGCAGTTGTGAGGGAGGTACAACCTCCCTCACTAATACCCAGAACACTGTAAGGTGGCAGTTGTGAGGGAGATACAACCTCCCTCACTACTACCCAGAACAATGTAAGGTGGCAGTTGTGAGGGAGATGCAACCTACCTCAGTACTATCCAGAACACTGTGAGGTGGCAGTTGTGAGGGAGATAAAACCTTCCTCACTACTACCCAGAACTCTGTAAGGTGGCAGTTGTGAGGAAGGTACAACCGCCCTCACTACTACCCAGAACACTGTAAGGTGGCAGTTGTGAGGGACATACAACCTCCCTCACTACTACCCAGAACAATGTGAGGTGGCATTTGTGAGGGAGATGCATCCTCCCTCACTACTACCCAGAATACTGTAAGGTGGCAGTTGTGAGGGAGATACAATCTCCCTCACTAATACCCAGAACATTGTAAGGTGGCAGTTGTGAGGGAGATACAACCTCCCTCACTACTACCCAGAACTCTGTAAGGTAGCAGTTGTGAGGGAGATACAACCTCCCTCACTACTATTCAGAACATTGTTAGGTGGCAGTTGTGAGGGAGATACAACCTCCCTCACTACTACCCAGATCTCTGTAAGGTGGCAGTTGTGAGGGAGATACAACCTCCCTCACTACTACCCAGAACTCTGTAAGGTGACAGTTGTGAGGGAGATACAACCTCTCGCACAACTACTCAGAACTCTGTAAAGTGACAGTTGTGAGGAAGATACAACCTCCCTCACTGCTACCCAGAACTCTGTAAGGTGGTATTTGTGAGGGAGATACAACATCCCTCACTACTACCCAGGACATTGTAAGGTGGCAGTTGTGAGGGAGATACAACCTCCCTCACTACTACCCAGAACTCTGTAAGGTGGCAGTTGTGAGGGAGATGCAACCTCCCTCACTACTACCCAGAACTCTGTAAGGTGGCAGTTGTGAGGGAGATACAACCTCCCTCACTATTACCAAGAACATTGTAAGGTGGCAGTTGTGAGGGAGATACAACCTCCTTCACTACTACCCAGAACATTGTAAGGTGGCAGTTGTGAGGGAGATACAACCTCCCTCACTACTACCCAGAACAGTGTAATGTGGCAGTTGTGAGGGAGATACAATCTCCCTCACTACTACCCAGAACATTGTAAGGTGGCAGTTGTGAGGGAGATGCAACCTCCCTCACTACTACCCAGAACTCTGTAAGGTGGCAGTTGTGAGGGAGATACAACCTCCCTCACTGCTACCCAGAACATTGCAAGGTGGCAGTTGTGAGCGAGATTCAGTCTCCCTCACTACTACCCAGAACATTGTAACGTGGCAGTTGTGAGGGAGATACAACCTCCCTCACTACTACCCAGAACACTGTAACGTGGCAGTTGTGAGGAAGATACAACCTCCCTCACTGCTACCCAGAACATTGTAAGGTGGCAGTTGTGAGGGAGATACAATCTCTCTCACTACTACCCAGAACATTGTAAGGTGGCAGTTGTGAGGGAGATACAATCTCTCTCACTACTACCCAGAACATTGTAAGGTGGCAGTTGTGAGGGAGATACAACCTCCCTCACTACTACCCAGAACACTGTATGGTGGCAGTTGTGAGGAAGATACAACCTCCCTCACTACTACGCAGAACACTGTAATGCAGTAGCAGTGAGGGAGAGATAACCAGATTCTCACTGTTCTCACTGCTCAGAACTCCCGCAAATGAGACTTCTTCTCGGCTTTTGATAATAAATATTATCGAAGGAAAATATTATCATCAGAATATTTTTCATAACGTTACTCATATGAAATTAAAAAAAATGATTATTACAATTCAACATACAGTTTCCATCACAGTCATTTAACCCGTCAAGAAAACGGAAGATACTGCAAATCATATACAAAATTCTCACCTCCTTTCACACAGAAATATAGATAAAAAACAAATGCAAAATACAATATGCAACCAAATAAAATTGAACTTAAATATAAATTTGAATTTTAAGAGGAATAGTTTTTTTTAAAGAGTAAGTAATGCTTGCCTTGTTTCTTAAGAGTAAACGTCAGTAGCTTTCCCACAGTGTGAGATTCACCAAGTGTTGCTTCCTCAGGATGCCGACGGATATCATCAACGGTCTCCAGGGCCTCACCATCTTCCTGGTTTTTGTCTGCAAGAGAAGCACACTCCGCAAGGTGAGTTGAATAGCTGTCACTCAGATGTTGGAGGATCCAGGTAGGTTACTCACAAGTTAGTTACCATTTTGTTACCATTTTGTCTTAGGTACATAAGTGTGGGGGATCCATGTAGGTTACTCACAAGTGGGTGGAGGATCCAGGTAAGTTACTCACAAGTGGGTGGAGGATCCAGGTAAGTTACTCACAAGTGGGTGGAGGATCCAGGTAAGTTACTCACAAGTGTGTGGGGTATCCACGTAGGTTACTCACAAGTGGGTGGAGGATCCAGATAGGTTACTAGCAAGTGTGTGGGGGATCCAGGTAGGCTACTCACAAGTGGGTGGAGGATGGAGGTAGGTTACTCACAAGTGGGTGGAGGATCCAGGTAGGTTACTCACAAATGGGTGGAGGATCCAGGTAGGTTACTCACAAGTGTGTGGGGGATCCAGGTAGGTTACTCACAAATGGGTGGAGGATCCAGGTAGGTTACTCACAAGTGTGTGGGGGATCCAGGTAGGTTACTCACAAGTGGGTGGAGGATCCAGGTAGGTTACTCACAAGTGGGTGGAGGATCCAGGTAGGTTACTCACAAGTGTGTGGGGGATCCAGTTAGGTTACTCCCAAGTGTGTGGGGGATCCAGGTAGGTTACTCACAAGTGTGTGGGGGATCCAGGTAGGTTACTCACAAGTGTGTGGGGGATTCAGGTAGGTTGCTCACAAGTGTGTGGGGGATCCAGGTAGGTTACTCACAAGTGTGTTGGGGATCCAGGTAGGTAACTCACGAGTGTGTGGGGGATCCAGGTAGGTTACTCACAAGTGTGTGGGGATCCAGGTAGGTTACTCACAAGTGTGTGGGGGATCCAGGTAGGTTACTCACAAGTGTGTGGGGAATCCAGGTAGGTTACTCACAAGTGTGTGGGGGATCCAGGTAGGTTACTCACAAGTGTGTGGGGGTGTCAAGTGGGTTTTCGATACGTGGATGGGGTAAGAATACTCACTTTGTCTGGTAGTACGTATAATATATAACGGGAAGTATGGGAAGCGCCAGCAGCCGACCTGCCTCTCTCTGCTGCCTATCTTCGACTGACCCACAAGTGCCTACGGGTGAGGGTGTTTGAAATCCTGCTAAGGTCAGCAGCAATATGAATAACAGTGATTCACACAGACGGTTGGTAGTGAGTCATCTACTGGTACACTGGTTACTGGTAACTTGTTACTAGGAACTGGTACTACTACTGAGAGCTCGGCGACGCTAACGTATGTCGTCCCGACATACAACTAATACAAACTAGAGATGGCAGGTGTACGGCTTGGGCTGATTTTATACAATGTCAAAGTACACAACAATTGAATATTATTACATACATAAGTAGAATATTGGAATGGAAGCTTACGTAACTGAAACTGTAATGCAATACTAGGTATAATATAGCACAACTCATCGAATGAGACTCAACATTCGGATTACACAATAGAAGTGATAAAAAAAATTGATCGATCGATCTGTATTCATGTGATCTACGGATTCTGAGGAAGGAACAAGTGTGTGGGGGGATCCATGTAGGTTACTCACAAGTGTGTGGGGGATCCATGTAGGTTACTCACAAGTGTGTGGGGGGATCCAGGTAGGTTACTCACAAGTGTGTGGGGGATCCATGTAGGTTACTCACAAGTGTGTGGGGGATCCATGTAGGTTATTCACAACTGGGTAGAGGATCCAGATAGGTTACTCACAAGTGTGTGGGGGATCCAGGTAGGCTACTCACAAGTGGGTGGAGGATCCAGGTAGGTTACTCACAAGTGGGTGGAGGATCCAGGTAGGTTACTCATAAATGGGTGCAGGATCCAGGTAGGTTACTCACAAGTAGGTGTAGAAATTCTTTATTTTCATTCAGTTGTCAGTGGTCAGTAGTCACATTAGTTTCTTTTTCTTGAAATACCAGACGTTACTGTGAATTTCATATAACCTGTAGTTACCAGGGGGTCGCAATATACACAAGAGAAAAATTTTATACAGAAAACGCCCTTTCCCCCAAAATTTTTGCCCCAGTAACTAAGTGATAATATGCTTTATTGTGGGGAGACAAAAAAACAAAAAAGAAAAGCCAGATACGCGTTGAAAACAAAGGGTCGATGACGTCATTGTAGGAGCTGCCGTATCCCCGGTTTTAAAACACGAAAGTTTATACTTTTGTATCAGTAAAATACTTTTACCGGGTAGTAATTTCCATAGATCCTTCTTTTGGGTTAGCTAAAATCCCCGACCGTATTTTTTAAATAAGGACCCACTGATCAGAGCAATCGATGGTCCAACCCTTAGGGCCCAAACCCGGGACTGGTTTCAAACATTTCGTTGGAAAATAAGCAACTGTAACGGAGGGGGTTTTGTGGGCCCCTTTTAAAACACAAAAATTAAAAATCAGGAACGTGCGGTAAGCTGCCCAATTACAAAAAGAGTTAGAAAAAAACAAAAATACAAATAGTAGAGCTTTTTAAAAGGTTATTAATATAAATTCAAAGGTTGTAGTAAATTGCGTAAATCAACCATTAACATTATGAAGCTGGTGTAGTTGTGGTCGTCAAACAAACGGCTTCCCAGGATAAATTGTCTTTTTTTGTGGAAATTTTGGTGTCACGCTCTTGGCAGTATCCCAGAACTAGCTACAAGCATTTTAAAACAGAGAAGTTTTTTTGGGGTTCCCAAAGAGGAAAATCTGGGGAAAAAATAAAAGGGTATTAAAGAGGACAACATAAAAGTGCTTTAAAGAAACCGGGGAAAGCTTTCTACACAGAGGGGAAATAAAAAGTTGGGCTGAAGGTACTCCCCTTGATATGGCCCTTAGTCAAAAACTGAAAGGGCTGGAGGTGAGTCCTGGTATCTAAATTGGGGGCTGATATGCTGTCTGGGAGACAGTAATGGTGAAGCTGGAGGTGCTGCCTGGGAAAAGAAATGGGAAGTGGAGATACTGCTGGGAGACAAAATGGTGAAGTGGAATTTTGTCCGGGTAGTCGGGAATTTTTCGCAGGAAGGAATCATTAAATGACCCATAGAAGAAGGACCCAAAAGTGGGGAAACAAGTGTAGTAAAAGAAAAGAAAAAACCCAATTTCAAAAAAGAAATCCCGAAAAAAAGAAAACAAGAGGACCCAATGAATGTGAGGATAATTACCAAAAAAAATGGTGGGACCCATTGTTGGTGGGGGAGGTGGGAATAAGACAGGGAAACATCCCCCAAAAGGGAATACAGTCACAGAAACCAGGCAAAGGGAAACCAAGCCTTTGGCATACTATCCTTTGGGTATCTGCGGGCAGGGGAAATTAAAAAAACAGAGGGCATGAAAACTATGAACCCCCCAAGAAAATGTCATTCCATTGCAACAGGAAATGCAAACCCCCTTCCCTGTAGTTTTTTTCACCCAAAATGTGTCCCTCTTCAGTACAGGAAAGACTGTGCTAAAAATTTTAAAATTGCCGGCATCCCATCTAAGGGGGGACAAAAAGAAAAAAACATCCAGGCCATGGGAAAATGGGTACCCCACAGACATCAAGGGGGGAGGGGTTTTTTATGCCAGGAAGGAAAAAAACGGCGGGAAATGGCAGAAACACCCCAAAATCCATCTTCCGGGTGGAACCCAGTCGAGGGCCTCACCCAAAACCCAAAGATACAGATACTAAGCCAAAAAAAAAAATCCCCCCCCGCCAACAATCCCACCAGTCCGATAAATTTTCTTTGCAAATATACGGGGTTTAAACCCAGCAACAAAAACAAAATCCTTTCACCCGGGGATGCTTGCAGAGGCAAAGGCAATGTTCGCGGCTTTCACTGAGCCCCACAAAAAGGATCACTTGGACAACGAAATAGGATCCCGGTTCACCTATCAGATGTGCGAGTGAAAACGGGCAAAGGGGGGGGGTTTGGCCCTGTACTTTGCGATCCTTGTTTGACAGAACGCTTAATGCCTCAAATGACGTAGTGGAATTTTTAAAGCGAAAAGGGTCGAAAACCCAAAAACCTAGTCATTGTGGTGTCTACAAGCCCGGGATGCAATTTCCCCAGCAATTCCGGGAACCTGTTAAAAATGCCCACTTCTGGAAAATTTCCAGCCCCGCCCCCAAAACATCGCCCCGGGGGGGATTTCAACTTAAGGCCCTAAAATGGAGGAATAAGCAAATAATATTTTTGCAAAATAACCCCAGGAGGCAGCCTGATGAAAACTCACACTCCACGAGTTTTTAAATCTCTGCACAAAATTAAATTTTAAACAGCAAATAAAGACCTACTAACTGGAGAATCACTAGCCCTATTTCATAACAATGATGATCTGATAAAAATGCCCAATCAAAACAAATATCAGTCAAAAAAAATTGGGGTTTCAGAATGTATGGTGGGCCCAACCACAAATGAGACTAGTCACGAGGGAGCTTCCCCAAAATAAACTTAAATAAAAAAAACATAAAGGGGGACCAAGTAAACCAACCCTAACCGATATAAGTGGGAAGATTACAAGAAACCCGACCAAACTTACCCTAAACAGATTAATCGGGGCATCGATGTATGCACAAGGCTTATTCCTCTAAGAAAAAAAGGGGGAGTAGATGTAAAAAAGAAAGAACAGGCGCTCCCCTTTCGGGGACGGAAAAAAGAATAAAGAGCGGCTAAAGAGGTCAATATATTGAAATGGCAGGAGACAAGGGCGAGAAATAGCAAACATCGAACTTTAAACTAAAAGAAACCTTTAGGAGTAGGAATCGCGGGAAAAAAAAGCCATAAATGAAAATCGAAAGAAACCCCAAATATTTCTTTCCCTTTTCCAAAAACAAAATCGAGAACAACGTCCAGTATTGGGCCCCTACTTAAAAAAAAGTGGGTCCACACAGATGACGCAAGGAAATGATGATAATCAAGTCCCCCAAAGATCAGTTTTTAGCAAGCCCTAAACCAGACTGAGAGTCGAAGATCAAAATGAATTTTTTATGAGAGAGCCACAAAAATTTTTTAACACAAGCCCATCCGATGT